CTGGTAAAATGTAACAAAGCTAAAAAATTATCATGCAAGTAATTATCACGCAAGTTCCTTAGCATAAGGAAATGTTTTAGAAGTGATACAATGAGTTTTCTAGTGGCATTGTTTATAATTGCAGAATACTGGAAACAACCCAAATGGTGGAATAAATTGTGGTACATCACTTTCACCTAATAGCAGGTAACCTTTAAAATAACCAATAGATACATGAAGTACTAATAAGCAAAAAAGATAAACACAAATGCATATATTCATTGATTACAACTCTGTAAAACTGTACGTGTTAGTAAAGATTGGAAGAAGTCATAAAAAAACCTGATAGTTGCTAGGCCAAGGGGAAGACGTTCTGTATTTTCCTATAATGTTATTTATTCAATAAAAAATTATTTCAAACATATGTTTGAGGATTGAAAGGATGGAAGTTAGACTAAGGTCAAAAATGAGATACTATCATTTTACATTTAGTAACCTAGAGAATTCTGTGGCACGATGCCCAGGTGATTGATAAAAATCAGTTCATGGAAAAGTCATTTGACCTTAAATGACTATGCAGTTAGTAAAAACCACGGGTATCAGTTTTTAAAAACAAGCTGCCAATTTAGAAGCCAGTAATAGAGATAAAGGTTTTAGGGCAAAAGGATGGATGTTACCCACTAATACACCTTTTCAACACTATTCAAAGTCCTTTTTCTAAATTACATAATTACTAATAATTCTTAATTCTGCATACTGGTTACTAATTTCTTTCTGTTCTCCTAGAGTAATGTGGATTTAAAAAAAAAATACCATGGTAGTTCACGTTGGCTTGGTCTCTAGCTTAACCTTAAAGTTTTGTTCTATTTTTTTATTGGGAGACCTGTCACAGTTGCTTCTGTTCCTTCAGACTCCTTGAGTTTCATATTAATTTGTTCAACTAATACAACCAAGTGCCTGCTTATTTCTTTGGTTATTTATTCTACAAACATTAATTGAGTGCCTGTAATAGGCTGGTCCTTGAGAATCAAGAGATCGATTAAGTAAAATCCTTATTCTCAAGGGGTTCATAGTCTAGTGGTGAAGTCAATGACATTTATGGGATACAAAGTCTTCAACAATAATAGGAAAAACAATTACTAACTTTTTTCAACATGCAATGTTATTTTTTATCCTCATTTGAGGATATGTTTATTGATTTTAGAGAGAGAGGGAAACATTGATGTGTGAGAGAAACATTGATGGGCTGCCTCCCATTCGTGCCCCAATTGGGGATCAAACCCGAAACCCAGGTATGTGCCCTGACTGCGAATCGAACCTGTAACCTTACAGGGTGATACTCCAACCAACTGAGCCGTCCGGCCAGAGCTGCGGGATGTTATTTTTAATAAACTTTTTATTTTAAATAATTTTAGATTTGCATTAAAGTTGCAAGAATGTTATAGAGAGTTCCTGCGTACCCTGCACCCAGTTTCCTCTGTTCACGTTAGCACGGCCCGTTTGTTACAGCTGAGGAACCCACACTAGCACATTTCTAGACTCCATAGTGTTGTCTTTGGGGGGGTCTTTAGTTTTACCTACTGTTCTTTTTCTGTTCCTGGATCTCATCCAGGATATCATACTACATTTAGTCATCCTGTCTCCTTAGGCTCCTGTGGGGGTGACAGTTCCTCAGACTTTGCTAGTTTTCGACAACCTTAATAGTTTTAGGAGTATTGCTTAGGTATTTTGTCTTTTAATTTGGCTTTTGTGAGGTTTTCCTCACGGTTAAACAGAGCACAGGGGTTTGGGGGAGGAAGACCACGGAGGTAAAATGCCATTCTTATCACATCATGTTAAGGGTATGTGCTATTAACATGACTTATCACTATTGATATCGCTCTTGATCACCTGACTGAGGTTTGACAGTTTTCTCCATTGCAAAGTTACTCCTCTCATCCCCTCTCCATACCGTACTCTTTTAAATAAAATTACCATGTATCGCACACTTAAGGCGGGCTATACTCCACTTCCTTGAGGCTGGAATGTCTACATAAATTACTTGGGATTCTTCTGCACAGGAGATTAAAACCATTAACTTTTGTTTGGAGTTTTACATTAGTAAAGTTCTTTCAAATACATTATTTTATGGACACTGCTCTGAAAGAGTTTCCAATCAGGTCAAGGAGATCAGACTCGTAGAAGAAAAGTTAATGACAAAACAATTTAATAAGAAATCTAATTTTGTGCACCCATGTTCATAGCAGTGTTATTTGCAAGAGCCACAACATGAAAGAAACCTAAATATGTATTGAGGGTGAACAGATAAACAAAATGTGATATATTCATACAATCGAATATTACTCTGCCTTAAAATGAAGGAAATTCTGTCACATGCTACAACATCGATGAACCTTTAGAACGTTTTGGTAAGTCAAATAAACCAATAACAAAAAGACAAATACTGTATGATTCCACTTATATGAGTTACCTAGAAGAGTCAGATTCATAGGGACAGAAAGTAGAAGTGTCGTAGCCAAGCGTGGGGTAGGGGCAATGGAGAGTTCTTGTTTAACGGGTATAGAGTTTCAGTTTGCAAGATGAAAAGCATTCTGGAGATGAATTGCACAACTTTGTAAATTTACTTACCACCCCTGAACTGTACAAATCCAAATGGTTGAGATGTTAAATCTTGTTATATGTATTTTACCACAATTTAAAAAGAAATATTTTGACTAGGTTTTTAAAAAAGTAACTAGTCTTCCAATAGGGATCCACAGCTATACTGTAAATTGGAGGCCGCAAAATGGCACCCTGTATGGTTTTTGAAAATACGAATTGCCAACATTTAAAAACCAAGAGATTATACATAATAATCAGGATTTCTGGCTGCTTTGAAAAATAACGGATGATCTGGCAACGTAAGCCCAAAGGTGTCACACGGCAACAATCAGCTGGGGCCGAGTGGCACCTGCCACCCGCAGACGGCAGGCATGCTGCAGTTTCCCATAGCCCCACCACCTTTGTCACACTGCACTTTGCTCATCTTACTTTCAGAGTGAGTATGACTCTCCTAAAAGTGGTGAGTGGTGGGTGAATTTTCTCCTGCTGAGTGAAGGCTAGTACAGTGGTATCTCAGTCCTCCATCAACCAGATTGCCCATGCAGCCCTGTAAAGAAGTTAGATACTCAGAACTTGGCGTATTCAAGGTATTAAAATAATAACTCACTTGGTGATGCCTCTGAAACCTTGATGTAAGGCCGCACTTCCTCAGTGTAGCCCAAAGGAGTCCAAGGAGAACCAGAAGGAACGCTCTCACAGGAAAGCCGCTGGGGAGAGAAGGCTCCTGCCAGAACTCGGCTTCGGTTCTGATGGTGTATTTTAAGAATACCTTGCCTGGCTGGCGTGGCTCAGCGGCTGAGCACTGACCTATGATGCAGGAGATCATGGTTCGAATCCCTGGTCAGGGCACATGCCCAGATTTCAGATTTGATCCCCAGTGGGGGGCATGCAGGAGGCAGCCGATCAATGACTCATCATTGATGTTTCTGTCTCTCCCTCTTCCTTCCTCTCTCTGAAATCAATAAAGACATATTTCAAAAAAACAACAACCCTGGATCCAAGTCTGTGATTCCTACCTGACTTCTGAAGTGAGCCAGTACCTCTCCTGCAGTCTCAAGGAAAAGGCCTTTCAAGTGTTCAAATCAGAAGTGTCTAACCAAGAGTCCCAAACTTCAGCACAAACAAAACCAGACACGGTACAGGAAGGCTGCCACCAAAGTCCTACGCTACTTTTATCCTACCTGTGCAGAGCTCTCATTACATGCATGTAAAAGGCATGTCTACCTCCCAGGTGCCTCTTTCTCAGGCTTTGGAAAAGGGTTCTGCACAGCCATTTGTGTTTGGTACCATCTGCCCTAGATGTTCAAGACAGTCCTAAAGTCAGGCTTCCAGGCCCCAACACAGACCCACTTTGGGATACCCACTGAAATCCTCCATTGAAAGCAGATGGCTTACGGCTCCATTATGTGTGCTCAGGCCAGGGAGGAAGGAAGTGTGTGTTTTAGAAGGGGCCTCATTTGCTCCCTTCTGGGATTACAGGTCTGAGCCTAAGAAACACAAAGGCTGAGTCCTCTGATCATACCTGGCCCACCCAGGGTGTGAAAGGACACCCCCACCCTTGTTGGACATGAAAGAGAGGCCATGCCCGTATGTTATGTGGTTGTGATGGATATTTACTGGTCACCTTTCCAGCATCCATATCCCTCTTACTACTATCTAGGACCCCATATTTCTTAAGTATGCCATTTGGGTGGGATGAAGCCCACCTCCAGCTCCAGGGAGAGTCAATCAGCATGTCCCATACCCCTGGCCACCGTTCAAGGGTGAACATGCGATCCCTTGTCACAAGGAGGCTGAATTCTAGGACTTTGGATTGAGCCATTAGAAAAGCACAATTTGCCTTCTCCCGCTGCTCAAGCACAGGATACACATAGATCCAGGAGTTTTGACATCATCTTGGGACCACAGTGGGAGAGCTGCCTGAGAAAGGAGTTAAGAAGAGTCACCAAGGCAAACAAAATATAAAGGTGTCTCTGCACTGGACTGTCTGGTTATATGAGCTAATAAATTCCCTGTTTAGCTTCAACCAGTTTGGGTCACTGACAACACAAAGGATCGTAATCAAGACCCCAGTGAACACAATTTGACCCCCTTCAGTTTTGATGGTCTCTGCTCTAATCACCATCTTCCCATCCCACCAGTATTTTCAATTCCTTCTAAGGCAAATCGACCTAGTAACAACCGTGATAGAATTTAGTAGACCTGAAAAAAAATTCCCAATATTTGTGTATTTTAGCCTAAAATTTTACTTAGTGGTTTGTGTCATACTTCCCTTTTATGTATATCTTTTAAGAGGAAATTAATCTTCAGAGTTTAAAAAATGCAAATGTGGGAAAATGCTGTATCAGCCCAAAGACTTTCTTTTTGACTAGAAAATGTTTTTGAAGGGGGGAAAAACAGGGATTTTACTATTAAAAGATAAAGGTAAAATTATTTTTTTTAAGATACAAGGCATTGGAAACACATGGTTTCACAAAACGCCATTAATAGACACCCTTTATCTGATTGTTGGAAATTATTCATTTCCTCAAAGAGAGACAATAAATTGGTTGGGTATATAATCTTGTACAATGCACTTTCTTTGCCCAAGTCAATCGCTGAACATTTCAGAGCCATGAGAATGCTTCTGCTTCTGACTTTCCTTGTGCTTGGAGCTGCCAACATTTGTGCCATTGCCTTAGAAAGTCCCTTGAAAAGACTGGTGGCAGAGACCTTGACCCTGCTCTCTACTCACCGGACTCTGCTGACAGGCGATGGGGTAACTTTCTGAGTTCTATAGTCTTTAAAAGGCATTGGTAATCATTCAGGTGGTTAATTTTTAAAGATCTGTTATTAATAATGAAGTTATGAGTGTTAGCAATAGATAATTGATAACCATTTCACAATCATTTTATTAAGTTATGAATGCTAGAGTGCTTTAAAAATGAATGCATTTCTTTTTCTTCTCAGAACCTGATGATTCCTACTCCTGAACATAAAAATGTAAGTTAAACTATGATTGCATGAATAGATAAATTGCATATTTTAGGCTATAGAGCAATAGTTATCATTGGGACTATTTATGTTCTATATTTTGTTCTTATGTGTGTGATGTGGATGTGTGTGCTTATTAGGAATGACTTTACAACAAGTAGAATCCATTAAACCAGATCCTTTGGGGATGTTGTCAGGTGAGAGGTGCCTCTTCACCTCCATTCAACTCTGACTATCTACGGCTTTCCTCGCTTTAATGTCTTTTTGAAAGTATTAGCAACTTAGGGTAATATTTTTAGAATCATGGTCAATACACATTAAAATATACAATGAATGCTTTTTATTAACAGTCATTTCCACATTTTAAAGTGATCCTGACATATAGTGGAATTGTATACATTTGGAGTATGTCATGGTCATTCTAAAATGTAAAATATATGATTTCATTAATCTAAATAGAATAGCTAGAACTATGAAAGGAAACTCTGATGTGAGGTCAATCAGTAAGGTAGTTGCATTTTTCTTCCAAAACATTGTATTTTTGGTAGAGTACTTAATTGATATCAGTTGTAAAATTCCTCGGGAATTATATAAACCTCACCTACTTTTAGAAATTATATCTCAATATGAGTTGGTTGCCACCTAGAAAAGGAACAGGTAAAAAACTCTTCGGAGAAGAGAACTCATGTAAACACCCCAAAACAAAGTCTAGCTTTTTGGACCTATTTTTTATTCCTTGATTTGATTACTTATATTTTTCAAATCTTCCTCATTTAGCACCAACTGTGCATTAAAGAAGTCTTTCAGGGGATAGACATATTGAGGAATCAAACTGCACAAGGGGATGCCGTGGAGAAGCTCTTCCAAAACTTGTCTTCAATAAAAGAATACATAGATAACGAAAAAGTAAGTGAAAAAATTCAGTGGAAACTTAAACAGATTTGTCTGGCTGCGCCTATTTTTACAGGAATTGACAGATTCTTACAATGCCTCTTGTCTGTTCTTTTTCACAGAAAAAATGTGAAGGGGAACGATTGAAAGCAAAAAAATTCCTAGACTACCTGCAAGTGTTTCTTGGTGTGATAAACACTGAGTGGACAACGGAAAGCTGAGACTGAACTGGCTTATTGTAGCGAAGGACTCTGGAGAAGAAGGCTGTTTTATTACCGTGAGAATGAGGGCCAGCCAAGGGTAGGGCCTTCATCTTCAGTGTAATTTAACTTCCGAGGCAAAGTAACAGTCTTTTTGGGCATACTGCTGCTTCACTACCTCACATAGGCAGAAAGCATAAAAACAAAATATTCTAGATATATTCCAGATATAGGAATCATGGATTCTATATCCTAACTTTCCTCTAGGTAGCTCTAGGCAAAGTAGAAGTATACTTTGATCTTATTTAATGCAACATTCTGTAAAATGTCTGTTAACTTAATGTTATTTATGAAATGGTTAAGAACTTGGAAAATTAATATTTATTTCATGTCAGTCTGTGTTCCAATAAAACAAAAATAGACAACTCTGATTCAACTTGTTGCTGGTCTTTGTCTTACTCTTGAAGTGAGCGCAGCCTGTGTGCAAACAGGCTGAGGGGGGCGGGGGGGCTGTGTGTGTGCCAGCCAAGCACTCCGTCGCCCTGCTGGCAGAAGTCACAGAGCTGCTAGGCGTACGGGGAGTGAAAGTGATGCAGCAGGACTTGGGGAGGATGTGGGCAGCAGGGACAGGGCAGGGGCTGAGCCTGGTTTCTTCTCCACGGTACACCCAGAACCTAGGATGATGCAGGTTCAATGGTAGGTGATGAATGAATGAATGAATGAATGAATGGGCCTTCCAGGACTGGCCATAGAATTAAAATGTGTTTCAAGGTTTCTCTTGGGAGGAGGACAGTGTATGAATCTGTAACTAGGTCTCATCTCAGCCTATGGAAAGAATTTGGCAGAACAATCCTGCTGGTTCAGGGAAGGAACCAGAAACCCTCTTTGCGGCGGAGCCCAGAGTCTTGTGGCCTGGTGGAGTGGGGAGTTCTCCTTCACCTCTCCTGACAGTGTGGCATAACAAAAGGGGCAGAGAAGTGCTGGTAGGCAGTTATATCAAGAAGGCTGGGTTCTAAAGGTCCTTACCATCTTGCATTCTCAGGGGAAGAGGGAAATCAGGCAGAATAACACTCTATCTGCTTGTTTATGACTATCAGTACCATAATTAGAGGTCCCTGAGAAAACTTCTCAAGGATTAAGAAAATACATTATATATAGATACATTTTAAAAATATGTATATATATCTTTATTGATTTCAGAGAGAGAAAGGGAGAGAGAGAGAGAAACATCAATGATGAGAGTCATTGATCGGCTGCCTCCTGCACGCCCCCTACTGGGGATGGAGCCCGCAACCCGGGCATGTGCCCTGACCAGGAATCGAACC